TCACCAAATTAAAAGCCTCAATTTAAATAATTGATTTTCATCAACTTTTCCATTTGTACTTCAGTAATTTTCTAAAGAAAGGTGTATTCTCAGTATTTCATATAACCTTTAAAACACGTTGATTTACAACTAAAGAGAGTCTTTACACTAGATTTGGTACATGTGTTTGCTACCTACAGAAGGGTACAGTGTAACTTTATACATTTATTTAAGCAGCTATGTAGCTCAGGGGTTCTCAGACTGGGGGTCGGGACCCCTCAGGGGGTTGTGAGGTTATTACATTGGGGGTTGCGAGCTGTCAACCTTCACCCCAACCCTGCTTTGCCTCCAGCATTTTTAATGGTGTTAAATATATAAAAAAGTGTTTTTAATTTATAAGGGGTGGGGGTCGCACACAGAGGCTTGCTATGTGAAAGGGGTCACCAGTACAAAAGTTTGAGAACCACTGGATTGTAGCTTAATATTTTCAGATTCTTAATTGTACATTTTTAGTATGTTACAAAATGGTGAATAATATATTGCTTATTTACTAATATTGTGCCATATTGGTAAAGCTTCACTTTCAAAAGTTAGATGGTTTTCCTCTGCTTATTTCTTTATAGAGAAAAGCAGCCTTTAATGGAAAGTTTTTGACAGAGGCTCATGGTTTCAGCATATTTATTTTTTATTTCAGTGTTTTAAGAGATTATAAATCTAGGCCTTAACATATTTTGTATGAAATTAAGTTTTTCTTTTTAAAAATATATGTTTTTAAAATTAAATCTGATTATAATTTAAATAACAAAATTAAAACAAATCCAATTTAAATAAATCCATGATTTTTATCTATTCTGCCATATGGAGCCAGTTGCAGGATCGGGGTTTAACTTTGCTCCAAGTGTAGATGAGAATGACGTAAAGCAGCAAAACAAATTTTACCGTTTTTTCTTTTAAATTTAGGAATGTTGCCTACCGTTGCCTACTGCAGTGGGAGTAACAGATATGGTGAATGGAGTTTGAATGTTTCTTATGGTATGGTACGTAAAATACTGATTCTTCACTCTAAAGGTAGGGAGTAGAAGTTTGGTGTATTAAAAGTTAATGTGAAGCTAATTTAATGGTAGCATAAAGAATACCCATGTTTGATTTCTTGTCTTGATCTCTTACTTCTTGGAATAATCATTCTTGTGGACACTGAAGATCCCACCACACTTCTGATAAGAATAGGGATTTAGGGGTGTAGTTTAGCCAAAATTCAGCTCTGTCATAAGAACATAAGAATGGCCATACTGGGTCAGACCAAAGGTCCATCCAGCCCAGTATCCTGTGTACCGACAGTGGCCAATGCCAGGTGCCCCAGAGGGAGTGAACCTAACAGATTATGATCTAGTGATCTCTCTCCTGCCATCCATCTCCACCCTCTGACAAACAGAGGCTAGGGACACCATTCCTTACCCATCCTGGCTAATAGGCCTTAACCTCCATTAATTTATTCAGTTCTCTTTTAAACCCTGTTATAGTCCTAGCCTTCACAACCTCCTCAGGCAAGAAGTTCCACAGGTTGACTGTGTGCTGAGTGAAGAAGAACTTCCTTTTATTTATTTTAAACCTGCTGCCCATTAATTTCACTTTGTGGTCCCTAGTTGTTATATTATGGGAACAAGTAAATAACTTTTCCTTGTTCACTTTCTCCACACCACTCATGATTTTATATACCTCTATCATATCCCCCCTTAATCTCCTCTTTTCCAAGCTGAAAAGTCCTAGCCTCTTTAATCTCACCTCATATGGGACCCGTTCCAAACCCCTAATCATTTTAGTTGCCCTTTTCTGAACCTTTTCTCATGCCAATATGTCATGGTGGTTGACTGCTGCCTGCCTCTCCAGAAGTAGATGCACTTGCTATCTGTCTGTAGTTTGTGAAGGGGATTGAGATCTTTTGAAAGGTGTTATATAAGAATGAAAGGTGCTACGTAAATGCTAGACTATCACTTTTATTTATTATTATGAATTCTAGAATTTCTGTGGGATACCATGATTTTCATGGCTTGTGGTCATCCAGAAGTGTTTGCTAAGTTGAGGCTTTGATGGACAGCAAAATCAGTCCAAACCACAGCTGGCAGGACTTTATGAGGAACCAAAAATGAATCCTTTTGCTTGTTTTAGGTTTGTGCATGTAAGTTTTGAGGTAGTATAATTCATTTAAGTGTGAGCAAACATCAGTGTAGATATGTTAATAAATTCTGCATACATTTCACAGCTTTGTTTACTTGCAAATCTCAATGCAGACATTTCAAGTTTGTCCCAAAACAAGTATTATTTTTGATACAATAATATACAGAGGCTTCAGTTATAACACAGGTAGCAGAAGGGATACACTGTCAATGATGCTTGCCCTGCACAAAGGTGATGCAGGGTACAATCTAGTAAATTTAAAAATAGCTGTCAAACTTTAACTGATGTTTTTCAGAATGTTTCCAAAGTGACTGTAACCTTGATGAGAAACCTGCAGTTGTGTTTGTCTAATGCAACTGATTGCTGCATGGAGCCACTTTGCGTTGTTGAGACTCTTCAAGTTTCTGCTTGCCGTGGTTCAAAAACATTGGCAAATCTCCTGATTCAAGCTGAAATATATGCCAACTCTTCCTTTACGGGAAATGTGTCAGGTAAGTGTTTAGGTAGTTAAAAAAAAATCAATATTTTGTCTGGTTCCAGTTTCATTTTTGAATATTTGTATGTCTTCCTTGGCACTTCCCAGTGTGCTAACTCTTGTTGCTCCAAATTTAATGTATTTATAATTTATAGACAAAGGATTAAATCAAATCAAAACACTCATTAACATCAGTTGCACCAGCCAGCATTGTACCCCATATTTTTGGGGGGCTACAGTTGTGTCTTTTGGGCATTTGCAAAATTGATTTAATAAGGTAATTACAAGCTAAACTCCCTTTGCAGTTCCATTGCTTGTGAGGCAGACTAGTAGTAATTGTTTTATTTTTTTCAATTAATGATCATTATTTTTTTTAAACAGAAGAGAAGTGATGATTAAAATATAGTGATGTGTGTGACGGTGCCCCCCATAGGGGTTTATGGAGATATGCTTATGAATGTATATATGACATAACTAGACTATGTTTAAGCTTTATACAGGGTAAAACGGATTTATTCAGGGTTTGGACCCCATTGGGAGTTGGGCATCTGAGTGTTAAAAACAGGCACACTGCTGCATGCAGCTTTCAATTAAGCCTACAGCTGTTACAGGATGTGGTTCAGACCTGGGTCTGGGTTTGCAGCAGGCTAGCGGGTCTAGCTCAAACCAAGCAGGGCACTGAAGTCCTTAGCTGACTGGGCAGGAAAGCAGGGACAGAAGTAGTCTTGGAACATCAGATGGTAGCTCCCAGGGGGTTTCTGTGATCCAACCTGTCACAATGTGGATATGTAACATCTAATTTATTTTAGTAGTCACTTTCCATCTGTTCAGTCTTAATGCAAACAGGATTCTTCTAATCTTTTAGGTTAGACATCTGAGATGTGAAGTTGCCTGTTAGAGGGGAGTCCTTAGTGAGTTTGGTTGGGGTGGGTTTGGCCCAAAATGTAAGGTAATTGGAGATAGGGCAGCAATAAAAGAACCTTGGTACTATTTGTCAATATTTTAAAAAATAAAATGTATAAGGTAGGAATTACCTTTAATGCATACTTTCTCTTTTTCTTTTTTAAAAGAATGTTGTCTCAAATCTGATTAGTGGTACTGCAATGCAAATGAAAATGTTAATTTTATGGCCTAACTTTATTTTATATTACCCTTTTATAGAAAATGCAACCGTCATCCCTAACCAAGTGTTTCAGCCCCTTGGCTCTTGTCCTTGTAACCTGACAGCTGGAATTTGTGATATTCGTTGTTGCTGTGATCTGGTACTTATTATACATATAATTTTTAAGTTATTCCCTTTAAAGTATTATGTTACCAGTACTCTTAGGGAAATACAGCAAAGTCCACTAAAATACCTGAGAAATTATTTGTTAAAATATTGTACATTGGTATCGACTGTCTGTCTTTGAAGAGTAAGTACATAACTTTAAAACACTATAAATAGTGGACTTCACTAGAAGTGTCCCAAGCACTAAATTTCACTGGAAACACTGTTTCTGTTATTGTCCTCTGGTTTTTAATTAATGAATTTTAAAAAGGGAAACTTGATATAGTGAAAACACTTAAAAGGCCATACTCTGCTCAAATGTTATGACTCTGCTAAATGTGTTATGGAATACAACATTTGTGTCAGTATTTCCATTTTAATCTTAACTCTGAGTAGTGCTAGGAGCTCCCTTTTAAATAATCCTGGTATGTATATCATCACAGGCAATGAGAGAGCATCCTTGGTGAAGCAGAAAAAAAGCCCTGTCATGTTAAACAGCTTCCGTTTTCTTTTTTATTTCAAGGAATGCACGCCAGATTTGAAGCAATTGTTCAGTGGATCATGTTTTGCTGGAGTGTTTGGTGGGAATGTAAACCTGCCTTTTGACCAATTGTGCTCTGTTCAGACAACGAACAGTGCTCCTGACTGGTTTCCCTTCTTGTGTGTACAGTCTCCTCTTAACAATTCACCATTTCTTGGCTACTTCTACCATGGGTCTGTGTAAGTTTTAATAAAAAAAAGTCATAGTGAATGTATCGAATAGTTATCATACGCCAAAGAAGTTGTTATACCACTTCTGTAATGCGAATAATGTTGTTTACAGGAACTATCCAAAACCAACATTTTAAAATATATGCATTATTTAAGTTTTATAGTGAAATGTAACTGTGTGTATGGATTTAGAGGTAATATGAAAGAGGGAGATTTGAAAGAGATAATGAGTAATTATTTGTATTGGATAGGTGATACACTAATCATTTATTTTTTAACATTTGTTTGCAGTTCTTCATCTCTAGTTTCTTCATTTAAGATTCCTTTGCAAACTGTTCCAGAAAAACCTTTAAGTGGTTACAAACAAGGAGATCCAATTATGACAACAGAGAATGAGTATTTTACAATTCGTCAGGTAATAGCTTCATGTTAGCAGTATTTGGGTTTTGTTTTTTCTTTCTTTTCCTTATTTGTCTGTCTCACTGTATAGGAACAAAGACAGATACAAGCAATTCTGTGAGTAGCTGTTTTGAACTGGTGAAATACACTTTTCAACTAGCAGAACATTCACATTAAAAAAAATAATCATCTCTCTACCATCAATATTTTCCCATATAAATTAATATTTTGAATTTAACCAAGAAGAATACACTCAAGAAATATAAACAAATTTGGCATAACTTAACATTTTTAGGGGTTCTTTACATATTTTTGTATTTTTTATAATCCCTGCTCTTTAACTGAAAACTTTATTTTCTATTAGCTCCATCCTCAACTACTCAGGCTTTTTCTAATTTTCTTTACATTTTAGAATTTTCATTTTAGAATCACTGATTGTAGTTGGTCTAGCAAATCACAGTGAAACCTTGAATTATGTTTTAAAATCTGATTTTTTTTAAATATAAATTTTGGTCTAATGGCTTGCTTGTTTTGAGATAAGTGTAGGTGGGCATAGTACAGACACCATGTGCAATGAAATGGCGGTGTGCTTTTTAGCTTGAACAGTAGAACTAGAATAAATTCCATCTTCATATTCTTTTCTTTTGAACTGCATGCAGCGATCCATGGCTGGGCAGTGTGTTGGAAACGCCCCAGTAGCATTCCTTCAGAATTTTGATGTTAAATGTGTTACTAGTCTGTCAGCTTACAAGGAAGGATTGTCTCATAATGTGATGATAAACAGTGGTACTGGAGGTATGTTGTGTTTGCTTTGAGAAAATGTACTGATATTGATTTAAGAATAGATATAGTGATCTTAAAGTCCTAAGACTGATAATATGGTAGCTATTTATGGACAACATGATATCCTACATTGTTTTTGTTATGATCTAACAAAACTTCTCACTTGCAAGGCATTTCAGCCATTCAACTGTTGACTGACTGGTTCTTGTGGCAAGCCTCCTGCTTTAGGGTCCCCAGATTCAGGATATGAGACTTTGAGCTTGGGTTATGACTTCCTCAGTTTCCCCTCTCCCACCGAGTACAAATTTTGGCCAACAGGGTTTAAATACTAGCCCCCATCGAGAGCATCCCTTTCCTGTATTCAGACTGTTGTAAGAACTTTTTTTCCTCAGCCAAGGGCGGACACTATCCTCCCTTTAGAGTTAGTCATAAGTGGCTTCTCTGTAACACTTTGTTCTCCTAGTGTACGAAGCATTATCTCCTGGGTCTCAGTTATAGAGTTACATTACCCCCTGGCCATTGTGCCAGCATGAGGACAACATATCTTAAGTTGTTTGCCAATGAAATTTCCAAAGTAAGACATTCTCTTTACGCTGTAAAATACTCCCCTCACCTCACTTCTTGTCACACGTTGCACTTTTGTGGGAGCATATTAATCCTTCAAAATACCATACATTATCATTTAATAAGAAAGATCTGATTATAATTAGAAAATAGTGTTGGTATCATTACTGCTCTTCTGAAAATGTGTATTTGTACAACTAGAGGCTTAAAGTGTCTGGGCCTAATTCAGTCTTCCTGTTGTACCTGTGTGTCTGAGGGCATTGCTTGGGTCCGTTTTATCGCTCGCATCTTAATACAGCGACTCAGCAAAAATAGCTTATTTTGTTGTGTCATATAAAGCATGCTTTTTCAGAGGAACCTGTTGTGTTGTAATGACTGTCTAGTCTTTTACTTTTGCTTGTTTATTTTCTAACTCATTTTTTTTATAGTTTAATAAATCCTCTACCTTGGATGAGGAAACAGTATGAGGCTGTGTCTCATTTGCTAGTTAGATTTGCTGCATTTCCTGTTTTTCTTGTCAGACACCATCCAACAAAATGTGATCTATGGGAGTGTAACTGATGTACGTAACTTCATCACTAAACCAGGTATGTGTCTTTTCTGTACTCATATTATTCTTACTATCCTTAAAGAGACAAGGAGTTGATGATTAAGTTAAGATGTTAAAAGAGATCTTTGCAATTACCTGAAACTAAAACAAAACAAAACTTAGTGCTATGCAAATTGAAAAATCTTAAAGTCTAATCCATCTCCCTTTGAAGTCTATGTAAAGAAGTCTATTGACTTCAGTGGGAGTTGGATCAGACCTCTAGTCCTTATATATCTTAGCCAGTAGCAAAAGTAATTGAACAGTTGTAATGGAGTTAAGATGTACGGATCCCTTTGGCTATATTTAAAGTTTACACTCAAGTATAATAGTTGAACCCCACCCACATGCAGATGTATAGATTGGTATTTTGAAAAACCTCCTTTCTCATTAAATGCATCTTACAACCACACCACACGATCCATCGTCTATAGCCAAGCTCTGTGATAAAACCGCATTTGCTCCAACCCCTCAGACAAACACCTACAAGATCTCTATCAAGCATTCTTACAACTACAGTACCCACCTGCGGAAGTGAAGAAACAGATTGATAGAGCCAGAAGAGTTCCCAGAAGTCACCTACTACAGGACAGGCCTAACAAAGAAAATAACAGAACGCCACTAGCCGTCACCTTCAGCCCCCAACTAAAACCCCTCCAACGCATTATTAAGGATCTACAACCTATCCTGAAGGATGACCCAACACTCTCAAATCTTGGGAGAAAGGCCAGTCCTTGCCTACAGACAGCCCCCCAACCTGAAGCAAATACTCACCAGCAACCACATACCACACAACAGAACCGCTAACCCAGGAACCTATCCTTGCAACAAAGCCCGTTGCCAACTGTGCCCACATATCTATTCAGGGGACACCATCAGAGGGCCTAATAACATGAGCCACACTATCAGAGGCTCGTTCACCTGCACATCCACCAATGTGATATATGCCATCATGTGCCAGCAATGCCCCTCTGCCATGTACATTGGTCAAATTGGACAGTCTCTACGTAAAAGAATAAATGGACATAAATCAGATGTCAAGAATTATAACATTCATAAACCAGTCGGAGAACACTTCAATCTCTCTGATCACGCGATTACAGACATGAAAGTTGCTATTTTACAACAAAAAAACTTCAAATCCAGACTCCAGCGAGAAACTGCTGAATTGGAATTCATTTGCAAATTGGATACTATTAATTTAGGCTTAAATAGAGACTGGGAGTGGCTAAGTCATTATGCAAGGTAGCCTATTGCCCCTTGTTTTTTCCTACACCCCCCCCCCCTAGACGTTCTTGTTAAACCCTGGATTTGTGCTGGAAATGGCCCACCTTGATTATCATACACATTGTAAAGAGAGTGGTCACTTTAGATAAGCTATTACCAGCAGGAGAGGGGGTGGGAGGAGGTATTTTTTCATGCTTTGTGTGTATATAATAAGATCTTCTACACTTTCCACAGTATGCATCCGCTGAAGTGAGCTGTAGCTCACGAAAGCTTATGCTCAAATAAATTGGTTAGTCTCTAAGGTGCCACAAGTACTCCTTTTCTATCTTACAGCCAGTTGATCTGCACTTTCATGTAGAAGATCTCCAGGCTAGAAGAGTGCATCTTAGATGCTCTGCATTGGTATGGTATCGTAGTAACTAAACACTAAAACGGAGGTGTTTTTGTTTTTCAGAAAAAGTTAGAATGAAGGCTGTTATAGGTTTTTTTTATTGCATTTTCTAGAAAATCTTCCTTAAGATGTAATGACCTCTTTCATTAGTATGGTTTCCATCAAATGAACTGTTCTTTTCTTTGCAGAAGACATTCAGCGTACTGAGGTTTTATGTATAAATGTGACCTTTGCAGAATATTATATGTTCATATGGAAAGGCAAGACAATAGAGGAAATAAATGTCACAGTCCTCACTGGAGAACTATGTGATGGAGGTACTATAATGCATCTCTACAAAATAGTTTATTCAGAAATAGTTTTTTTCTCAGCATAGAAGTTTTGTGAAAAATACTTTTAATCAAACATCAGAAGACAATGCAGTTTGAAATAGAATTTTCCATTGGGCTAAGAAGAGCCAAGTGGTGTGTCTGGTTGGTATATTGTTAGTTTTAGGGTAGTTATTTATTAATCAATGATTGGAGGTTGATATTCTATGTACTGTTTACACAAAAAAAGGCATGTGTCAGTGGCCTGCATTGCTGGATTTGAGAGGCTTCATAGAAGGTGTTAATCAGCTTCTGAAATCCTATATGAGCATGCACAATCCAAGAGCGTGGGTCTACATGGCAGCTGCTGGTTGATGTATATGTTAGTTAACAAGACTTTGGTGACTGTGAGGGTGGGGGGAGAGGGAGTTTAATTGTTGATGCACTTGCTTTTTTACGTAACAAAAGTATTGCAATGGACTACTTTTTTTCTAAGAAATTATTTACATTTTTTTTCTTTTAATAGAAATACTGACACAGAGATTTTCAGTAAACTTTGTAAGCTTCAATAGTACTAATACAACAGAACTATCTGGGAATCCAGGTAATAATACTCTGTTTTACTTTAGCTTCTGCTGGCTGATTTGGCGGGGGGGAACAACTTTTTTATTGATAGCCATAACCAGTTATGCCCAATTTTATTTTTTATCTCTCTCATTTTCATCTTAATGTTGATAATCACAGCCTCTCCATTTTCTACCCTGCTACTGATAATATTGATGATGCTGAAAAGTATCATCAGATATTGTAGAACTAAAATATTAGGATCTGATCATGAAAACACTAACAGGCATAGTGCTTGCTACTGTAAGTATTCCCATTGAAATGATGCATTAGCAATTTTCATCCTAATGCTCCCTTGAATGTTGAATTTGAATGTTGCTCTGTGGCTGCATAGGAAGATAGAAGAGAAGAGGCTTTCTTTGCCCTCTTTCCTCTCTTCCATAGTGCAGCCAGCTAACACAAGGTAGAATTTGGCTCTTACTGTTTTCTGAAAGTCGTTAATACTCTTTTGTTTGAAGTGAAACCATTCTTGCTATAATGAAAAGTTCTGTTTAGATGTGAAACTAAGCACCTCATCAGTCAATTAGGGTTTCCCAACACGTTCAGAACTGTAGGAGACAATACTTCTAGCAAAATGAGAAGGCTTCATGATTATACTACTAGGCACTTTTAGACAGTACAGTATTTTACAAACATTAACTAATCCTTACAGCTCTCTTTTGTGAGAGTAACTGAGACTAACTATAATACCTAGCTCTTATACAGTGCTTTTCAGCAGTAGATCTCAAAGCACTTTACAAAGGAGGTCCGTATCATTATCCCCAAGGTCACAGAGTAGTTAGTGAGCCAAGATTAGAATCCAGTAGTTCCTAGCCTTCATTTCTGAACTCAGTTCTCTAGACCATGGCATTTTTAAGAACTTGGGGAGTTTTATGTATTATAAAAATGTTTGTCAGTGCTGATGAATTCTTATAAAACTTTCTCAGTTTCTCTTTCTGTGTTTAGGTTACCAAGTTGGCAAACCTGTTAGAGCCGTAAATATTTCTTCTGAGACTGTTACCATTCTAAAACTTTGGCAGCCAGGTACTACCTTTTGATATGCTGTTTTAATCACAACTTGCAATATAAACCAAAAATACTCTAATTTTATTATGTGTTTTGCTACATCTTTTTTTATTTTGGCCTTCCCAGACTGCTCTGGGTTGCTAATCTAGTGTTTCTTGGAGTTTAGATAAATTTATTATAGAAACTCCAAATACAATGAAATATACATGTATAAATCAGACTTTCCTGTATCATAATTTTATTTTGTATATAGTGCTCTCTTGAATAAAAGACCACTCCTGAAATACTGGAAAAATACACTAACAGGTAATATGAAGTATTGTCATTTATATGGAAGTGCAAGACATACGCAATAAAACAAAGTACTGAAGAATCTGTAATTTTTAAGATGCTACAAATGAAAATGGATGGACACTTAAGATAAATAGAATTTTAGTAGTATTTGTTTTAGCATTCTAAATCAAAGTAGCTTTCTACAAATTTGCAAGCTAGAGACTGAAAAGTTTCTATGAGAAACGCAAATAAATGTTTTCATTTTGTAGTTGGCAGTGGTTTGTGTACATCAGCAACTTTCTCACCAGTTCTGTTTGGATTAAATTCACTATCTGGATGCATTTTAGAAGTTAATATTAATGAAGATTGCGGTCAGTTAAGGTGAGGTATATATGGGTTATCCTGTCCTCCTCCCCCCTGTATTCATTTGTGGCTTTAAATATTTATAGAACTCTTATGTTAGTATTCAAAATAAGAAACCGATGCACTTTAACTAATTTGATATTATTATAGTGGTGGGTTTTTGTTTTGACTTACGATAGCCCGTGCTGCAAAACACTTCCCATACAAGCCTCTTATAGCCACACATTCATATTTCTCTAATTATGTAACTTTTGTGTTTGAAAATGGCTATTTTTAGTGCCTTTTTAAAGGGGAATTTTTTAGTAGTTTCAGCAAAATCTTTAAAGTAGTTTTGGACTTGGGAGAATGTCAATAAATAATTTTTCCCCATTTAAAAAAAAGACCTATTTTTTTCACTGGAATAACTCAAATAGCTGAAATTTGTTTAAGAGCATGCACTGAGAATTTTGAAACTTCAAACTACTAATAAATGTCTCATTAAAATCCCTATAGGCCCCCATTTCTATAATCTCTAAGGACTCCACAAACTTGAATGTATTTATCCTCACAACATTGCTAGGGCAATGCTTTTATCCCCATTTTACCGATGGGAAACGGAAGCACACAGGAAATCTGTGAGAGAGTTGGGAATCAAACCTAGGTCTCCAAAGTTCCACACTAGTGTTTGAAGCATTGGACTGGCCTTCCTCTCTAGGGATGGGTACTTAATGACAACAAATGCTGAATACCCTTGTTTTACATCTCATCCACAAAATGGCCCCTCCAGTAGCATAGCAATCCATTTTATTATGCCTGGGCATGGAGTTTACTGGTTCAAAAGGAAGTGTGTCACCTTACTGAGTCATCCACATCAATTCCAGCAGCACTTGGGTTTTCATATTGGATCTCCTGTACAAGTACTGACAAGATCTAATAAAATCACAGCCCAGAGTGGTATAGATACAGGTTTATTTGTAATGTATTACAACATGAGTGTTTTGCAGGGAGGATGTAACTGATAGACTTAATTCATTAATACAAGCTACTCATGTTGGGAAGAGAGGCAACTCAAGTTACAGTGATCTAAATGATTTGGTGGAAATAATACGTAAGTCAAAGCTTCATCTGTATTTTAGATTAATATAGATTTTAGTTTTACTTTACAATATGATTAGAAAATTTTAGTTTCTCTTATAAAACCATAGTAAAGGTGTACGGTAACAGTGTTTTAATGTCAAATTATGAGAAATCCTCTTTTTCTGTGTATATGCAATACCATTCCCCCAATCCCCCCACAAATTAAATATAAATACTGATACTCTGAACATTTTTTATGACAATGAGGAAATAAAAATGTCAATTTATGTCATGTGTACAGATTGACAGTAAAAATAAAATTTTATCAATCTCAGTATTTCATGTGGA